GAGGTGCTGGCAGACATCTTTAACACCTCACTTACCCTGGAGACAGTTCCCACCTGCCTGAAGACTGCCACCATCATCCCAGTCCCAAAAAGCTCTACAGTGACTGGTCTGAATGACTATCGGCCAGTGGCCCTCACCCCGATAGTCGCTAAATGCTTCGAAAAACTGGTCATGACTCACATCAAAACAACCATCAACATCAACGAGGACCCTCATCAGTATGCATACCGTGAGAACCGATCAACAGAGGATGCCATCTCCTCTGTGGTCCACACTGCACTCAACCACCTGGAGCAGAAAAACTCTTACGTCCGTATGCTCTTTGTGGACTTCACATCCGCCTTCAACACCATGATCCCCCAAACTCTGATGGACAAACTATCCACACTAGGACTAAGCCCCTCCATTTGCAACTGGCTACTAGACTTCTTAAACAGACCACAGTCAGTGAGGATCCACATCTTCTCCTCCTCCACCACAACCCTCACCCTCAGCACTGGCTCTCCTCAGGGATGCGTGTTGAGCCCCCTCCTGTTTACTCTGCTCACGTATGATTGTGCAGCTACCCATCCAGGCTGTCACATTGTAAAGTTTGCAGATGATACAGTGGTGGTGGGATGCATCACAAACAATGATGAGTCCAGCTACAGGCAAGAGGTGGAACACCTGGAGAGCTGGTGCAGAGAGAACAACCTTCACATCAATGTGAAGAAGACAAAGGAGATGGTCGGAGGATCTGCGTTGGAAGTGGTCTCCATCTACAAGTACTTGGGTGTACACCTGAACAACAACTTCAGCTGGAGCAACAACACCACCAGCCTGATCAAGAAAGCTCAGAGACTCTACTTCCTCAGACGGCTGAGACGAGCTGGTCTGGGAAGCTCAGTCCTCACCTCCTTCTACAGGTGTGCAGTGGAGAGCATCCTGTGCTCCAGCATCAACGTGTGGCATGGAGGCTGCACAGCTGCAGAAAGAAAAGCTTTGCAGAGAGTGGTGAAGGCTGCACAGAAGATTTTGGAGTCAGTCTCCCCACCATCACAGACATCTACACCTCCAGATGCAGGAAGAGGACCACCTGCATCATGAAGGACCCCACTCACCCAGCACACACTTTTTGCCCCGCTCCCCTCAGGAAGGAGGTTAAGGAGCATTAAGTGTAGAACCACTAGACTGAGGAACAGCTTCTACCCTGAGGCTGTTAGACTCATGAATCTCTAACTAGAATAATCACTGTGAAAAATCACATGTTGCTGCTGATCTGTTTCATGTTGCTGCTGATCTGTTTCATGTTGCTGATCTGTTTCATGTTGCTGCTGATCTGTTTCATGTTGCTGCTGATCTGTTTCATGTTGCTGTGTTCATGCGTGTTCATCTGTTCACTCAGACTCATGTTCGTGCTGCTGTTTTGACGTATTGTTTTTATGTTATGAGTGCTTAGTGTTTATTTAGTTGATGTTTTTCTTAGTTCATATCTTTGATCTTATCACTGTTTTTCTTTTACATTTTATTGTTGGATGTAACTGGGACCCTGTGTACATAATTTCATTCCACCACATGTACCACATGAGGTGGAACGACAATAAAGAATCTCTGACTCTGAAGCAACATGTTTTTCTCCTCTTCATGATGCCTTTTTTGACTGATGCAACTTATACTCTGGAGTGTGTCGAGGAAAATTAACACAACAACTCAGACTTTTCAGCCTATTCACCTGTTCCTCTCATTGGTTTAGAGATACATGGAGAAAAGACACAATAATCAGTCAGAGAGATTCAAGTTAAAAAGTATTACCAACATTTATTAAAGTTTTCAGCTGAAAGGAGACGCTCTTACCCCAAACCAACAGAGACACAACAAAAACCCAAGACACGTCTGACCGGAGCTTTCAGCTTCTTCTGTATTTAAACACAAAAGCTCCACCCAGAGACGTGTCACACATTCTTACAGTTCTTTGTCTAAACTAGTTCAAACTGATGTCTTCATTTCCTGGAAGTCCTTTTATGGAGTTGTTTTATTATTTTCTTCTGCCGTTCCAGTTTACTGGTGATCTTGTCATCAGGTGGAACACATACCAGCAGCTCCCTGTTAGTTCATGTCCCGTACACAAAAACTCAAATACATTTCTCTGACTTAGTTCACTCTGTACTTGTTGATACCAAAAGACAAGCAGATACAGATAAAGGACAAGATACAGTTGTGATACATCAAGCAATACAGCAAAGCAGATGAGAGCGTCTTTACAAGTGACTTATATACCGGAAATATGGTATATATTTTTATATTGCCTAAAAGTATAGTTTCCTCAAATGACTGGGGTGGCTGTTGATTAAACTATGATGGCCAAGGCCACCACTGGCCACCCCCTAGCTCCACCATTGCACCTGCTGGTGGATACAATTGCTCCCTCCACTGAACTGCCTCAGACAAAAAAACATTTACTGGTACCTCTGTTCTTCTCCACAGTGTAACTCCTCCCCACTTGAACATCTCGCACCAAAAATATTTAGGTTTACTTGCATTCCCAGTTCATTTCCAGTCCAGAAGAACACTCATTCCCAAACTACATACATTCACTATTCAAAGCCCTCATCGATGGGGGACGTCAGCTTTCTGCTTGTTTTAGTTAGAACACTTTCATTGAAACATTTGCAGCTCTAGGGCCACATGTGGCCTGTTCTTCCCTCTTCTTGGTCCCTCTGCAGAGGCATTATACACAGTCTCTCGCAAGATGTGTTGTTGCTCAGAGTATGTATTGAGAATGACTCTCAGCTACTACCACACCAACACATACTGTGGTGCTTTAAAGTTTGTGAACTCTTATAATTGTCTATATTTCTGCATCAATCTGACCTAAAACATCTTCAGATTCCACACAAGTCCTAAAAGGAGATGAAGAGAACCAGTTACACAAATGAGACAAAAATATTATACTTGGTCATTTATTCTTTGAGGAAAATGATCCAGTATTAAATACTAGTGAGTGGTAAAAGTATGTGAATTATCAGTTAATGTGAATGTGAAACTAGAGTCAGGTGTTTTCATGATGATCAGGTGTGAGTGGGTGGCTCAGGGTATCTTCTAACAACTGAAGACCTCTCTCACATTAATGTTCATGTTCATGAGTCCACCATCAGGAGATACTGAACAACAACAGTGGTCATGGCAGGTTGAAGGAGAAACCACTGCTCTCCAAAAACAACATGGCTACTCGTCTGCACTCTGCTACAGATCATGTGGACGAGCCAGAAGACTGTTGGAAGAATGTTTTGTGGACGGATGAGACAAAGTAGAACTTTTTGGTTTAAAAGAAAAGTGTTCTGTTTGGAGAAAGGAGAACTGCATCCCTGCTTAAGAACCTGATCCCATCTGTGAAACATGGCAGTAGTAGTATTATGGTTTGGGCCTGTTTTGCAGCATCTGGACCAGGACAGTTTGTCATCATTGGTGGAACAATGAATTCTGAATTATATCAGAGCATTCTACAGAAAAATGTCAGAACATCTGTCCATGAACTGAACCTGAAGAGAAGGTGAGTCCTGCAGCGACACCATGACCCTCAGCACACAAGTGGTTCTACCAAAGAACGGTTCAAGAACAATAAAGTCCATGTTTTGGAATGACCAAGTCAAAGTCCTGACCTTCATCCAATGCAGATGT